TATTTTCAAATTAAGGTATGTACACCAGTTTTTTTAGACATTGCATACTTAATAGACTACAGTATATTATAAACATAACTTTTATACGCACTGGGAAACCAAAAAACTAGCGTGACTTCCTTTGAGATGCGTGCTTTATTGCAGGTGGAACTGAACCTGCAGCATCTCGGGGGTACGCCTGTGCAACTGCAGCCCGCCGCCCTCTCCCCCACCCCATGCCCATTTTAGTTCACTTCACTGCCGACAGCCCTGGCCTTAAATCTATTTGCTTACTGTCTATCTTTCCCCACTAGAATGTCAGCTCCATGACAGCGGGGACTGGTGTCTTCAACACTGTTGCCTGCCAGAACCTAGAGCTGTGCCTGGAACTTGGGGTGGGAGTGGGGTGCTGCTAAATGTATGTTTGCTCCAACCCTGTGATGTGGGAGCTTTTGTATAATCCCCATTTCACAGAAGAAAACAGACTCAGCTTGTGTAGCCCAAGGATAGACAGCCAGCAAGAAGCAGACCTGAATCTGAACCCTAGTTTGTCTGCCTCGGAAGGATGGGGCTGCCTCTCCAGCTGCTAGCTGTGCCCCAGACAACTGGGGTTCTTTGGGCCTGTCAGGTGTTGTCAGTGCCCTGGGCTGGGCTGCTCTGTGTAAGAACACACTTCTTTTTGTTTTTTTTTTTTTTGAGACAGAGTCTCACTCTGTTGCCTGGGCTAGAGTGCCGTAGCATCAGCCTAGCTCACAGCAACCTCAAACTCCTGGGCTCAAGCGATCCTCCTGCCTCAGCCTCCCAGTAGCTGGGACTACGGGCACGCACCACCATGCCCGGCTAATTTTTTTCTATATATTTTTAGTTGGCCAATTAATTTCTTTCTATTTTTAGTAGAGACGGGGTCTTGCTCTTGCTCAGGCTGGTTTCAAACTCCTGACCTTGAGCGATCCGCCCACCTTGGCCTCCCAGAGTGCTAGGATTACAGGCGTGAGCTACCACGCCTGGCCAAGAACCCACTTCTGTGCTCCCAAGTGCTACTATTTCCAGCCATCCCTTGGCTGTCCCTTAGCTCAGATAAGTCCAAGTATGCAAACAGACGCAAGGAGAGGGGACAAATGGGTAGGAAAGGCAAGTTCCAGTCCTGCCTTGGCCACAAACTCAAAAGACACGGAACCTCTCCAGGCCTTGGCCTCTTCATTTGTCAATCAGAGGGGCTGAACTTAGTATACAGCGTGGCAAGGACAGGGCCAATGGTTAAGTGCGGGCTATGGGCTTAGAACGACACTCTTCTGATTTCAATCTGACACTGGGACTTTGGGCACGTTAGGTCATTTCTCTGAGCCTCAAGTTTCCTCATCTGTAAAATAGAGGCAATAGCAATCACCTAGTATGAGTTCTATGAAGATTAAATGGTATATATATGTGTGTGTGTGTGTGTGTGTGTGTGTGTGTGTATGTGTGTGTATCACTAAGCAGAGTGCCTGGCACAAAATAAGTGCTAAATAAAAAGATGGCATAGGCTGGGCGTGGTGGCTCACGCCTATAATCCTAGCACTCTGGGAGGCTGAGGCGGGCGGATTGCTTGAGGTCGGGAGTTCGAAACCAGCCTGAGCAAGAGTGAGACCCCAGTCTCTACTATAAATAGAAAGAAATTAATTGGCCAACTAATATATATAGAAAAAATTAGCCGGGCCAGGGTGGCCATGCCTGTAGTCCCAGCTACTTGGAGGCTGAGGCAGGAGGATGCTTGAGCCCAGGAGTCTGGAGGTTGCTGTGAGCTAGCTGACACCATGGCACTCACTCTAGCCTGGGCAACAAAGTGAGACTCTGTCTTTCAAAAAAAAAAAAAAAGATGGCACAAAGTAAGTGCTCAATAAAAAGAATCATCACCTATGATCCACACTTAATGCCTTGGCGACAAGGTCATTTCTGCAGTGGAGGAAAGTTCTGCCTCTCCCTGTGTCATGTTCTTTGAATGGGGTTTTTGTGACCTCACAGGATTTTGAAGTTTTTTTCTACTCATCAAGAAAGACTAGGAAAGAGAGAGAAGACAGATTCTTTCTGTACCACCCTTCTTTCCGGCCAGAGACAAAGCCACTGATTTCTGCAGCTGCACTGGGAGCTATAAATCAATAGAACACAGCCCAGACACCCCATCCCACCCCACACCCCCAGCTGGTAATAGGGCTGCTCCAGCCTGTGGGACGGTAAATTGCTAATTTAAGCTAAGCTTTCTGTTCTACCCCACCATTATCCTTCTTCCTGTGCGTGTTATGATGTTCGGGGAGCCAATTTGATTTTGAGGTCCCAGGACTCTGAGGTTAATGAAATCACGCCTTGCCCTTGCACAGCCCCTGCCTCTCAAGGTCCAGGCGTCTGCCAGGGAAGGGAAAGGGGGAAGCTGAGATCACAGCATCTAAGAATCATTCTTCTTGGACTCTCAGCCATGGTGAAAGGTGCCGAAATTATGCTTGTCTTATCTTTTCTCCGCCTGAATCTCCAGGGCCAAACCTCCACTCAGTGGTTTTCCACAGTCTGCTTGTATACCTTCGGTGACAGGAAGCTCCTTATATTACTCAGCAGCCCATACCTTCTTGGAGACATCTGACTGTGGGAAAATTCCTTATAGAAATGAGATGTGGGCCGGGCGAGGTGGCTCACACCTGTAATCCTAGCACTCTGGGAGGCCGAAGCTGGTGGATGGTTTGAGCTCAGGAGTTTGAGACCAGCCTGAAGCAAGAGCAAGATCCTGTCTCTACTATAAATAGAAAGAAATTAGCCAAACAAGTAAAAATAGAAAAAATTGGAGGCCATGCCTCAATCGGTGGTGCTATGCCTGTAGTCCCAGCTACTCGGAGGCTGGAAAGGCAGAAGGAATCGCTGAGCCCAGAGTTATGAGGTTGCTGTGGTGTAAGGGCTGACACCATGGAACACCTCTAGCTAGCCCTGGTAACAGAATGGAGAAGAAAGGAAGGAAGGAAGGATGGAAGGAAGAAGTGAAGGAAGGGATGGATAAGGTAAGGAAGAAGGCACAAGGAAGGTAGAAGGAAGGAAGGAGAAGGAAGGAAGGAAGGAAGGAAGGAAGGAAGAAATGAGATGTGCACAAACATACATGTTCGAGAATGTTCACGGCAGCAGTATGTAGATTGGCATACTATTTATTGGAAATAATATAAGTTCTCTGAAACAGAACACATTCACACGATGTAGCCATTAAAAATCATGTTTTCAAAGAATGTTTGATAGCATGAGAACATGCTCCTGAAATAACATAAAGTGAAAAGGCATTTTATAAAATACTATATATAATATGATCATGATTTCAATATGTGATTCTGATCTCAGTAAAATAGAGAGAGAAGAGATGGGAAGTATGTACACCAAAATGACACAGCTTTTCTTTTTGTGGTAGGATTATGGGAAACATCTGTCTCTGCTTAAACTTCTCCACATTTCCTGAAATAGCTACTTTGTTACCTTTAGTGTGTGTGTGTGTGTGTGTGTGTGTGTGTGTGTGTGTGTGTACAGAGAGAGGAGACAGACAGACAGGGTCTCACTCTGTCACCCTGGCTAGAGTGCTGTGGCGTCAGCCTAGCTCACAGCAACCTCAAACTCCTGGGCTCAAGCAATCCTACAGGCACATGCCACCATGCCAGGCTCATTTTCTAATTTTTCTAAGGGTCTTGCTATGTTGCTCAGGCTGGTCTCAAACTCCTAGCCTCCCAAAGTGCTAGGTTTACAGGCATGGGCCACAGCGACGGGCCTCTTTATTGTAAAAGAGAGTTTCTAATATTGAGTTGATGAAGTTTCTCTATGGCATCCACCCAATAATCCTAGTTCCTATGGGGCTTGATAAATGTCAATTGAATGAATGAGAATCAAGTCTCGCTCGTCTTCTAAAGACTCATAATTACAGAAGACATTTATTGAACACTTGCCAAATACCTGGTTCTGTGCTGAAGTCCTTACCTGATGAATTTCTCATAACTACCCTATGAAAGCTCTATCGCTACTCCCATTTCACAGATGAGAAAACTGAGGCTCAGGGAGGTTGTGCATGTATTGCTCAAGTTTACTCTCTTAGTAAATGGCACAGCTGGGACACAATTCCAGGTCAGTCTGGCTCTGACGCCCAGGCTCTCAGCCACTGCTGCCCCACGCAGAGGCCTCAGATTTACAGACGGCAATCTGCTCTCTTCCCTGGCCCGTCCTCACTTCTCTACCTAGATGTCTCCAGCTCCCACCTCCATTCCTCCTGTGTCTCATAGACAGCGGTGGCAGACAGACATGGAGTGATATTTGGAGTCAGAAAGATCTGGGTTTGAATTTCAGCTCCACCCTGAGCCTTCGTGTGCTCATCTGTAATTAAGAACATAAAGTCCCCATTACAGGGCTGTGGTGCAGCCTAGAGAAGCCTTTGGCATGTGGCTGTCTTCCAGAGCCTCCTCGGGGGTCCTCTGTGACTCCTCTGGACTTACCCCAGGGTGTCTGTGAGTCACACACACTCCCCAGGGGCTGAACCCAAGACCCAGGAAGCAGCAAGCCAGGGGCTGCTGCCTGTCCTCACCAAAGTCACCCGGCCCAGCCTCCTGCCTTCTTGTTAGGTCCGACAGCACTCCATTTCAGAAAGGGGACGGCTGAAGCCAGGATTTCCAGGACTTGTCCGAGGTCACACTATCTCTTTCCATCTCCCCGAGCCAGCCGGTCTGGTGCCCCCACATTGAGCCCCTCCCTATCCAATTCACCCACACCCACACCAGATTCATCCTCTTGAACACCATTCTGCACAAACTGCTCCAAACGTCCCTCCCCATGACCTGTGACCCAAGGCCCCCTCATTTCCGAGCAAGACCAGCCTTACTGTGGGACCCGAGGACCTGTCCAGCCTCAGTTCCCACAGTCGGACTCGAACCGCAGCCCAGCCTCTGGCCCCCAACACAGTCACGCTGGGCCTGTCTTCAGGCCTCTCCTCAGTCTTCCCTCTCCCCGTCCCTACCAGAAAGACCACCTCCAATTACCTGGGGCTGGCCTCAGGAGTCGCTCTAACATTTGCACCTTGTGCAGAATTTTGGAAGGCAGGCACTAAGTGGGCAGATCCACCGCTAGCTCCCGGGCCCGGCTGCAGCTCAGAGGCGCACACAGCAGGTGCTGCTTCAGCCATGGTGAGGAGGACACTGCTTGCAAGGTCTGTCCTGCCTTTGTCCCTGCAGCCTCTCCATCCTCACAGCCACCCTGGCCCCTGGTACCCTTGTCTCAGCCACAGTGAACCTCCCTCCCTCTGCAGCTCCTGGTCATCCATCATGTGCTGAACCTTCATGCTGTCCCCTCTGCCTGGAATGCTCCGCCCCCACCTCTCCATGGAGCCAACTGCCGCTCCCCCTGCACGGCCCAGCACCGCGTCACCTCCTCCGGCTGCTTCAGGTGCTTCCCCTGGGTCCCCAGCTTCAAGAAACTGAGCTTGTCCCTAGAATCCTAACTACTCAGAGGCCCCCGCAGGGCATGGCTGTGTTGGAGCCAGACACTGCACAGAGGCTCAAGCTGGCAGTCTGGGCAGTGGAAGCCGAGGCTGGACAGGCAGGGCGGGGGTCGGCATCAGCAAATGCTTGTTGAATGAGTAAATGTGCAGCCGAAGTGGGGAAGGGCCCAAGGTAGAGAACGTAGACAATCAGCCTTCCACAGCCACCCACTCTGCCACCTGCAGCAGCTGTGGGAGCGCAGGGTAATCAGCACGCGGCACGCCAGGTGCGGGGCTACGGCCTTTGCATGCATGACCTCATTTAATCCTCCCAGTAACCAATCACGATCACCCCACTTCTCAAATGAGGAAATGAGGCTCGGGGAAGTTAAGCTGTTTCCCAAACCCACACCTCCAGGATGCGGTAGGGCAGGGATTGAGACTGGGCACTACCTGACCCCTAGCCATGACCTTTACCACTGCACTGGCATCTCTGGGAACCCTGGATCCAGGCCCCGGCCTGGGCAAGAGAGGGGAGGGAGACAAGCAGGCAGGGGCCCACGCTGGGCTCCCAAACACAAGACAGGACTCAGTGCTACCAATTTCCCAGCAGCCCCCAAAACCTCGGCAGTAGACAGAGGAGACAACTGTGACACCTCATTCACCTGCTGTGACCCTGCCCCAGCCCACACTGCCTGCCCAACCTTCCCTCCCTGCTGTGTGCCATGGTCACCTCAGATGGGAGGGAAAACTGAGTGCTTTGCCAGCCAACATCATCTTACCCAATCTTGAGGACAAAGGTGCCCAGGGGCAGGTATTAAATACTATTATCCACAGTTTATAGATGAAGACACTGAGGCACAGAAATGTGACTCAACTTGCTAACAGTTTTAGTAGGTTACAGAACCAGCTTTTTTTTTTTTTTTTTTTTTTTTTTGAGACAGAGTCTTGCTCTGTTGCCCTAGGTACAGTGGCATCATCATAGCTCACAGCAACCTCAAACTCCTGAGCTCAAGCAATCCTCCTGCCTCAGCCTCCCAAGTAGCTGGGACTACAGGCATGTGCCACCATGCCCGGCTAATTTTTTACTATATTAGTTTTAGTTGGCCAATTAAATTTAGTTTTTTTTCTATATTAGTTTTAGTTGGCCAATTAATTTCTTTCTATTTTTAGTAGAGATGGGGTCTCACTCTTGCTCAGGCTGCTGATTTCTAACTCCTGACCTTGAGCTATCCTCCCGCCTCAGCCTCTGATTAATTTTTTCTATTTTTATTTGCCTGGCTAAATTTTTTTCTATTTTTTTAGTAGAGATGGGGTCTTGCTCTTGCTCAGGCTGGTCTCAAACTCCTGACCTCAAGCGATCCTCCCGCCTCAGCCTCCCAGAGTGCTAGGATGACAGGCATGAGCCACCTTGCAAGCCCAGAGCCAGCAAGGCGGAAAGCCAGAAGAAACACGGGCTAAGAAAAGATCAAGGGCAGAGAAGCTCGCAGGCTGAGAGGCGCACAGGGGCAGGCTGGGGCTGGAAAGAGGCAGCGGGCACCGGAGTGTAGAGACAAGCAGAGTGCAGACCTGCCGATACCAGGATCAGGGAGCAGAGGGGACAGGGAGACGGGGAAGGCTGCAGGACAGACAGGAGACCAGGGGGAGAAGTGTTGATTCCATCCTCCTGCCCTCGTTCTGGGGCCAGCAAACCCAGGAGTCCTGGGCCTTGTAGAGGGATGAAGGGGTCACCTGCCAGAGGTAAAGGGCCTGCTAAGCTACCCAGTGGGCTGCCAAGGAGCACTCCCTGAGATACCAGCTCGTCTGAGGGCACTGACTCTTCCCAGAGGAGGGGTTGTCGGCGTCCCCTCTAAGGACCCAGGGCATCCTATGGCCAGCATCAAGTCACCACACTGGCCAATCTCACACCGCAGGAGTAGGGAGTGATGCTCTGCCTTGAGGACCAGCTGTCCCAAAAAGTCCTGCTCACATCTTGTTCCTGGGAGGCACAGGCCGTGTGCTAAGAGCACGATTCCCAGGGGCCCCTCTCGTGCATCCAGAAGGATGCTTTTAGCACACATTTGACAATGTGATATCGGGAAGGCTGGCTGGGAATGCCCCTAACAGGCTGAGCCCAGAGCCTCCCCAGAGTGGACCCACAGAAGGGGCCCCCCCTTGCTCAGCGGTAGTGGGGAAGCTGTGTTCGTCAGCCCACCAGCCAGGGGCCCTGGGGAAAAGGCCGGAAATGGGACGGGACACACTGATACTAGGCTTTCCAGACTTGAGCACCTGGAGCTCTCTAGAGAGACTATGTGACAGGAACCTGGAAATCTCAGATCGCAGCTGTTCTCAGGCCCACCTGAGGACAAGCGCCTCCCTCATGCTCCCTTCTTTAATCAGCACTGGATTCCGCAGGATCTGGAAAATGCTTCCTCCTCATTATATAGACACCTTCCATTTACTGGGTCCGGGCACCAGGCCAGCTGCATTATAGACGCGCTCTCGCCGACACCTCACAACAGGCCTACTGAAGAAGCTTCTATTATCACCTCATTCTATAGATGAAGAAACTGAGGTTCAAAGAAGCTAAGTGATGTGCGGAGTCACAGAGCTGGTTTGCGGCAGAGCAGGGATTAATACTCAGGTCTGCCCGACTCAGTGGGGGAATCGCTGATAAAAACACAAAGCAGAGATCAGTCCTGCCTATGCTCGGGGGAATTTTCCCACTGTCGCTGGTGATGAGTCATTGAGAGCACAGGAAATTCTTGTACCCTCCACTCTTTCCGGGGGAGCAAAAATCCCCCAGAGATCATCAATGCCAAAGCCCCGTGACACCCACACAGCTCATCCAATGCTCCAACACACCACGTTCCACCTGCAGAGACCTTACACTCTGGGAGTCACACTTTCCAATCCAGGAGATTGGGTCTCTGTTCTTCACACAGGGAAACCAAGGCAGACGGGAGGGGAAGTGAGGGGAATGGTGTCTGGGCATCAGTTCACATCTCCAACCTCTGAGTCCAGGATCTGCCCTCTTCCCTGCCTGGTGGCCGCACAGCCCAGAGAGGCTGAGGACCATGGCCTCAGTCAACCAGCTCGCAGGACCCATTTCCAGCTGACAGTAAGTACCTGGGCATCTTCATGGTTTAAGGATGCAAGTTTCCCTTTCAACCTTTATTGCCCATGTCTGAGCTGGCGGAGCTGTGTCAGGAGGGCTACCCCTGGGGCAACCTGGCGATGTCTTGGAATCTGGGAACTTCCCCACACTGTCAAGAAACACCAAGAAGAGAGCCTTACTTCCCAGGGTGAAAGCACAAACTCCACTCCCGCCCAAGCAAACCACTGCTGCCTTTGGCAGAAACAAAGAGAAATGAGAAAATGCGAGAGAGCATTTGTGAGGAGCATATGAGGCCTCTCTGCATACCCAGAGTTCCTGACCAGATGGCCACTGGGGACGGCAGCAGAGAGCGGGACGGCGGCCCACAGCTATTGCCCAGGAACCGCGGGCAAACACACACACACACACAGCTGCACCAACACAGATGCCCAAAGCCACTCTGGACGCTCCTCTCCCCCTGCAGTTTTAGAGGTTTGACAAGAAACAACTCAGTCACATTCACTGCACATTCATACAGAGAGAATCACAAACCGACAGTTTGGGACAACAACAGGGACCCCAACAGATGATCACCGAATGTGACTTGGTAAGTGTCCCCACAGCATGGCGCAGACACACAACACTCTCCTGTCCGCCCTACCTGCACAGTGTCCACACACAGCTGTCTCCCCAAAGGCCCGTGGCACGGTAGAGCATCTCCGCCCACCCCGAGGGTACGTTTCAGACGTCCAAACATACTGCCACAATCACCCACTCAAAAAGTGTGACAGACACACAAACTGTTGCCAAACTGTCCCACGAAGAAGCAAGGTAACGCCAACAGACAATCAAACGTTATTTGGCTAAGCAAGCGCGCACACACTCGCACACGCATGAGGATTACGTTCCTGCGTCCCCCTCTCCATGGACGTGGCCTTCCCGCAGGGCCCCGGGCGCCCCCTGCAGGAGGTGCGGAGGCCCGGGGAGTCCGGGGTCCGGGCCCAGGGTCCTGAGTCCGTGGTCCCCACCCTCACCCTCACCCCCGGGCCCGGCCCCGCAGCGCGGGCCCGCAGCGGACTCACCGGACGATTCCGAACATGACGAGCACGTTGCCCAGCAGCCCCACGGCGCACACGGCCGCATAGAGCGCGGTGATGGCTATGGCCAGGGCGAGGGACGAGGCGCTCCGTGCGCCCGGCGGCCCCGACGCATTGGCGCCCGCGCTGGGGAGGGCGCTGGGGTAGGCGTCCGAGGCGTTGGCGAGGAGCGGGGGCTGCAGCTCGGCGCCGGCAGAGGGGACTGGCTCCATGGCTGCCGCCTGGCCGGTGCCGCGTCCCTCTCCACCGTGCGCCCTGGGCGCGGGGACCTGGCGCGAGGGGCGCGCGAAGGGCCGAGGCTGCGGCCCCGACGCCGCCGGCTGCAGCCTCCCGGCCGCCCCGCTTCCCCTGCGCCTCCTCCGCCTGCCTCGCCGCCCGCACCCGCCCAGCCCCCGGCGTCCGCCCTCTCTCCTCGCCCGAGTGCTGTGAGCCCGGAGCCGCTGCGGGCTCCTCGGACGCGCCCGCCACGCGCACCACGTGGCTCGGAGGCGGCCGCCAGTCTGCGCCCGCGACCGGGGGCGGGCGCTGCACCACCGGCTGGGAGCTGGGCTGGGGAAGCCGGCCGCCCTCTCCCTCGGGAGGCTCTGCTGGCTCGAATGCGCCCCCACCCCAGCCTGGACCCACCTCCCACTCCCTGGCCACTTTGGAGTAAGAAGGACCGGAATATGAATGCCCCTTCCGCCCCTGCACCAAGGAACAACAGAGTGACCTTGACCAAGTCGCTTAACCTCTCTCAACTTCATTCTCCTTGTTTGTTAGAAGAGGAAAATTGCGCCACCCCTCTCAGCCACCCCTCTCAGAGGGCTGTTGGGGAGATTAAATAAGATGATGCGAGTAAAGAACTTAGCTCAGTGCGCAGCACACAGTGAGTGCAGGCGCCATAAATAACCAGTATTATCCCCGCTTTTCTTGTACCCTATTCCTTCTCTCAAACTAATGTACTGAGGGTGCCTATTGCAAGAGCTGTTGGGGACCGGCCCAGCCCGTACACAAAACCAGGCACAGCCCCTGCTTCCTGAGGCTTACAGCACAGTAGGGGCGAGACGGCAATCCTAAAATCACATTAATGAGGATATAGTTACAAATGGAGGAATGTGGCAGGGTTTACAAAACCCAAGAGGTCAGGACAGCTTCCTTAAGGAAATGACACTTAAAGGTGAGAAGTGTAGGGAGGAATTATCTTAGGGAAGAACATTCCAGACCAAGAAACCAGAAGGACTCAAAAGGAAGCCAGGGACAAGAGAAGACAGCAAGTAAACTGGGGCTGGAGAATGGGTTGAGGTGGTGAGCAGGGTCTTTTGAAGACCGCCTGTAGGATCACGGTGGCTGCTCTGAGAGCATATATAAGGGGGCACTTAGCTAACTCATCCTTCCCACACCCCTGACCTGACTAGCCCAGATCCAGAGCCATCCACGTCCTTGGGTGCCCAGCATTTCCAGAACAGTCTCTCTTCCAAGCATTACTGTGGTCAAGGAACTGTGAAATGTTCTTTATCTATGCATCAACACTTTGGAGTGGACTCTGTTATTATTGTCCCCATTTTATAGATGAGAAGACTGAAGCTAGGCATTAAATTATCCCATATAGTATTTATTTCTGTCCAAGCTTTCTCCTTGGAGAAACCAGGTCTGTTTGATTCCAGCACACAGGAGAGGGCTGGGGTCACAGTGGGTGCTCGAGAAATGCTATTTGGGTTTTTCGTTTGTTTTTGTTTTGGGGGCTTTGTTGGTT